GGAAGGTAAAAGAGACCATTCTATCTTATACAAGAGTCAAATGTAGAAGTGCTGACATAGTTGCGACGGAAATGTCTTGCATTCACAGAGATCAAAACCGTTTACGTGGTCGTATTGGGTACGGTGTATTTTTTCCAAAATTCACCCTTTCCAACTTACGAAACATCTTATGCTTTTCTCTACTTGGCAGTTTGAACAACTGGACGATCTCCATTATTTAGCAATGTCAGTTTCAGGTAAGGTCTGCCTTGTTGCTTCTACATGATTGAATCAGCCTCGTTCCCTACGTATATGAAGGATGTTCCTCTCAGTTTTTTTTTTCTCCAAGAATCAATAATTTCCTTTTGTAGACTCAGAGCCATTCCTTATTTATCCGCTATATTCTCATAATTTTCATTTCTTACTTCCTTCAATTGCGTCATTATCACACATCTCATTCAGTAACGCACTTCTTTAAGTGTCTCTTTGGTTTTTCTTGAGTAAACAGTATTGTCTCTCGCTCACAGGCAGGATGTGTCAAGCATCTCATTGCTCTATCGCTACTTTCACGAAAGTGCTCGGACGAGCTACATTCCTTGATTCCGCCAGGCCGAACCGTCACGACAAGGACCCGCCATGCCACTTACATAATAGCAAACTACCTACATTCTCTTCATATTCCATTGGTGAGAAGTACTCGAAAAGCTTCTGGCGAAACCCTACTCATTGGAACCGACCCCCAAGAGAATGTTTCCCCGATCACTACAATCTTAACCTGTTCCAATCTCGCGTTAACCGTTATCTGCTTCTTTCATCCGCACAGCCTCCTAACGTAACCCTCCACCTCGAGTTGCTCCCGGCTTTGTACAGGGTGAACCATAAAGAAAATCTCAGAGCCGATGAAAGTTGAATTCTTACATTTTCAAAGAGTATTAATATAAAAGAGAACGGAAAAGATTTTGGTCGGCTTTTGAAGTCTACGCCTCGATTCCACTGACAGCGACGCTACGCGTACATTATTTTTTTTTTTTTTTTTTTTTTTTTTTTTGCATAGTTTCATATAATTATAATATTAACTCTATAAACAGGGTGGAGACTGACATAAAAATTAATTTGTATCTTTCAGCTAGTTTTCTCAAACTGACCGTATGGTGAAAGAGAGAAAACTAAAATGGTTGTTTCAGTTAATTTGAAAAACGATGTACATACACATTCGGTTAAAACCAATAAAATTCCGCTAAGTTTGTATTTGTTTATTTTTTTTATTTATTTCAGATCATATTTTTTCTTTGATTTTAATTCATTTATCGAAATTTGGTTAAAGAAGCAAACTACCCACAGTCTATTCACATTCCATCGGTAAATTCCACTGGAACAGCTTCTTCTAGTAAAACACTGCTCTGTGGAACCAAGGGGATGGTTCCCTGATCAGCACAATCTTAATCTGTCCCAATCGTGGGTTAACCATTACTGTCCTCTCCTATCCGGACAGCCTCCTAACATAACCCTACACCTCGAGTGACTTTTTTTATAGTAAGGGTGAACCTTAGTGTAAAAAATCTTAGAGCCAGTAAAAAATGAAATCTTACCTTTTCGCAGAGTGTTCGTATAAAGAGAACGAAACAGACTTGGTCTGCCTTTGAAATCTACGCCTCGATTACACTGATGGTGACGCTACGCGTACATTAATATATATATATATATATATATATATATATATTACAACGCGTACATTAATATATATATATATATATATATATATATATATATATATGTGTGTGTGTGTGTGTGTGTGTGTGTGTGTGAAAAGTGTATATAAATATAAATAAATATAAGTATGTATAATTATTTATATATTATATGCGCGATACTTATTAGAAAGCGCTCAATATCAGAGATAGAGCTAACATATTTGGTTGGATAGATGTGAGTTTGTGACTCTGGGTTTCACGCTTTAGCGATCGTCAGACAAACTGATTAATGTTTTAAAAAATTTGGGTTTATGTAGATTGCGTGTATTGGTGTTATTGTGGAAGTGGTGGAGGAAATTTCGTCGTTTTGTCATTCATCGTACTAACGCAAACATCGATGTATGCAGACACATATACATACTTGGTCGTCCGTCGGGACTCATACATATATAAACATATGTGGGCAGTTTCGGCTATGACACATGTATGTATACGGGTGGTGTTATATCTATACATACGCATTTGTATGTTGAAATGTTGAAATTTAAACATTGGAAGTGTTCAAAAAAATGTCTCGTTACTGTATACATGTCATACATTTTATTTTTTCCGCTGAAAAATATTTCCTCGCATGTATGTATATGCGTGTGGTGGGGTTTGTGTAAAATTATGATAGGTAAAAATTATTATTATTTATATTTATTTTTAAATTTTTAAAAAAAAAATGGGGTTTATTTGTTATATTTAAAGCTGGTTATTTGTTTGTTTTGGTGACTGTGTATATGTAACAGGTAGAAATTTGTAATCCTTATTGGTTAATTTATATGGTGATGTTTAGTTTAATATTCAATGTGCTGGGTGAGAGGGTAGTTCAATTTAATAACGGGTCTATATGATATGATGTGATAGTAATGTATCAAGGGATTGGAGACAATGATAGTTAGCTAATAGTTATTGTAAATTGGTAGAAATTGTAAATTGGTAGAAATGATTAGTAACGGTGGTGGGAGAATGATAAAACCATGAATGTAGTTATAGTGGTGGTAGCTTGAACTAAAAAGTGGTTGTTGGTGTTTTATTTTATTTTTGTTTTATTTTTTGTTATATGTATTAATTTATTTTGGTATAAATCCTGATAATAGGTATTCTGTGTAAAATTATGGTAGTTGGAGATTGCTATAATTTTTTAATATTTTAATTACAAAATTATTATTGTTATTATATTAAAGCTGCCTGGTAATAGGTGTTTATTCTCATGGTTATATATGGAAATTATATCTGATCATATTGTTTTAAGGTATTAAATATGCTGGAGGAGTAATAAAATTGTAGTGGATTTATATGTTAATAGTGGGTGTGATGTTCTAAGTGATGGTGCTTTGCGTTGGTGGTAATGATAATATTGTTAGTTAAAAGGTATTGTAGTAAAAGTGATTACTAATGGTGGTGCACTTATAATAATGATAGATGCAATTATGGTATTTTGAAATTAAATTGTGATTGTTGGTGGTTTGTCTGTTTTATCCGTTTGGTATGAATTCGGATAATAGGTAACAAGAATTCGGTTATTCATACACGTTCTCATGCCTATATTTGGAGATTATCTCTGATTTTTGTTTAGTAAGTACTTTTTGCGGTTTGTGTGATATTATTGCTATTTTTTCGTGTAGGCAAATTTAGGCATTTTTTTCGTATGTTAATTTGTAGGCAGGGCTTTTTTAAATATTTCCCAACTTATTGTTGGTGTGATGTTTTTGTCTTTTTGCTGCCATATGTATGTAGAAAATGTTGTGCTGTTCGAATATTTCCTGTTGTTGAATGAAAGGTTGTGATTGTTATTCCTCATTTTGAATGGACCTTCGGTGGCACCGATGTAGTGCATAGTGTTGTTGTTTGTACTTACCTTGGCCATGTATATAGTGTTCGTAAGTTGGCAATTTCCCTGGAGTGGACATGTTGTTCTGTTTCTGCAGTTGCATATTGGATCCTTGGTTACATTTTTTTTAGGTTTTTGATTATTTCTGTTATGTTTTTGTACAGCTGTAACAGATCTTTACGTTTACATTTAAAAAATGACTTCAAGGGTTTGAAATGAAAATATATATATATATATATATATATATATATATATATATATATATATATATATATATATATATATATAATTTTATCTCAAGCAGGGCTGTAGTGTTGCTGGCAAGAAAAAGGGTTACTGGGAGTTGAAGAGAATGAGTGAGGAGAAAAGGACAATAAAAGAACAGGTTTCAGGAACACAGATGACGTCGATTATACCACTAGGACGCAATGAGCTACTGTGTGTGAAAGAGAATGGGAAGACTTTAGTAAGGAGAAAAGACAATAAAAGAATAGGTTTCAGGAAAACAAAAGATGGTGATGATGTCACTAAGATGCCAGAGGTTACTGTGAGTGAAAAAGAATGAGAAGAATGAGAAGAATTTAGTGAATAGGAAGGACAATAAAAGAACAGGAAGACAGAAGGTGGCGATTATGCCATCTACGACGTAACGGCTTACTGGGAGTGTAAGTGAATGAGAAATCTTTAGTGAGGAGAAAGGGCAATAAAATACATTTTTTCAGGAAGACCGAAGATGGCGATAATGCCACTAAGATGCACGAGTTAATAGAAGTGAATGAGAAGCATTTAGTGAGGACTTTGAGAGAAGGACAATAAAAGAACAGATTTCAGCAACTAAATGTAAGTAAAGCCATACCCCGTTCTCTTCATTGTTTTTTTTTTTTTTTTTGAGAGGAGACTAGCTATTTCAGAAAATACTTCTTCCTCCACGTCTTAGGTCAGACTATTTGACTATTTGACTATTTACTTTGGCTATTTGTGAGGCAGAATGATTTTTTTTTCTTTTTACAAATAAAGATCACCACGTTGGACTTTTCTTTTCACGATCCAAGCTATGTTTTTTTAATAATACTTGTGATTCTTGCTCATTTGTGAATTTAACTGGCTATTTACCAGAATTACGTGCACTATGTGCATGTCTTGAAGGAATGCCTTCAATTCAACGATCACCAGCGATTAGCCAATCATTAAATGTATGTAAAAAGGCAGAAATTTGAAATTAGTAATTATTATTGAAGCTTTTACTGATATAAATTTAGATAACAAAAAAAAAACACACAGAAAAAAAACAAATATTCATAAATGTTCAGTTTAAATTGTCCATTTTTAATCATCAATTTTCGTTAAAGATGTCAAAATATAATTACAAGATTAAAGAAGTTTGTGGATATAATGAGAAAAGCGAGTAATAAATAATGTCTCACATCGATCGTCTACAAGATACACAAATGCATTCAAGAAATATTGATAGATAGGAGAGGAGAGAGAACGGAGGTTTGAGTTATGAAAAGTGGGAGATAGATAAGCAAGTAGAGAGAGAGGGGGGAAGAGAGAGAAAAAGTGGGAATGATAGAGGGAGAGACAGAAAGGGGGACAAAGTGTGGAAGAGAACATTTTCGAAATTGATCATCTTCAAAATACGGAAAGCATTTAAGATATATTGATAACTGGGAAGGAAAGAGGAAGGAAGCTCGATTTATAAAAAGAAGCGAGATAGAGAGGAGATATATTGGAAAATATAAACAATATAATCTAGATATATATATTATATATATATATATATATATATATATATATATATATATTATATGTGTGTGTGTGTGTGTGTGTGTGTGTGTGTGTGTGTGTGTGTGTGTTAAAATATATAGAAAATAGGAAAGAACTGATAGGTAAATAATCCAAAGTTCTTATCCAAAGTTTTTATCCCAAAAATAGGAAAGAACTCGTTATATATATATATATATAAAAGAGAGAGAGAGAGAGAGAGAGAGAGAGAGAAAGAGTGATAGTGAAAGAGAGAGAAAGAGAAAGAGATACATATATAGATAGAAAGATATGGGAAAATTAGAGAAAGGAGATTAAAATTTATCTTGAAAAAGATTACAAATGCGTTTACATTTTTATAAAAAGGTGATATTGAGAGACCAGTGCATATATATATATATATATATATATATATATATATATATATATATATATATATATATATATATATATATATACACGTTTCATTAAATAATATAGACAAAATTTGTCTATTTATTTTATGTTAATATTGATCCACTATGTAAACTAAACAATGACAGACTATCATCACTGTCGTGTCCGTATACTGTTTGATATGTTTGTAATTACATCTTTGATAATGGCTTGAAATCGAAGCATGAAATCCATTTAGATTATATTAAAAAATAATGGATAAATATTGTGAATTTCTTTTTTCGGTTAATGATAATGTTATCAAACTTATCAGAAGAGACGAAAAATTTTACATAAAATAAATAGACAACACTTGTCTATATTATTTAATGAAACGTGTATAAATGAAAATATATGCCTAAAATATAATATATATATATATATATATATATATATATATATATATATATATATATATATATAGATAGATAATATATAGATAGATAGATAGATAGATAGATATGGGAGAGGAACTGATTTTATAAAATCGACGCCCACAAGGCATGCAGTTGGAATCAAAATGAGAAAAGGCAAGAGTTGAGATATAAAATGAGCGAGTTTAGAGAGAGAATTTCCCAAAAAGTCATCTACTATACACCTATGTTCACGATATAAATATATATATATATATATATATATATATATATATAGATAGATAGATAGATAGATAGATAGATAGCGAGAATCCGGATATTAACAGGCAGAATTCAGATAATAGCGAGAAAGATAATTAGATATTTCACTATTATACGCTGAACGCGTTTTAATAACCGCATCTTCTAAGCGTGAATTCCATAAATTATGACGCCTTCTATCATAGTTCCTCAAACCTTTGATAAAATGTTGTCAGAAGAGATATTTTATCTAAACGCACTTAGCCAGACTATTTCAGTGTTTTGGCAGTAAAATCTTCCTCGAAGATAACAGTTTTATGAAAACTCGGGCACTATAATCTGAAAACTCTTTCATTTGACCATCACGAGAAAATGTTCATCTCTTTCAAAAGTGATTAAGTGATAAAAATCACTTAATTGCCTTTGCGTTTCATCTGTCCAATTCCACCTTGCAGGCAGATTGAAATGCAGCATTATCCTTCTGAGATCCATTTACCTAGAGATATCTCAGACATTAAGAACATTACATAATCACAGCTACAAACAGACAGAAGCCTACACGCGCACCTACGAAAATGTGTAGACAGAAAAGAGCACGAACCCACAAAAAATAGAGACATACGCTTCATGACGAACTGAAATATTGTGACAACACACCTAAAGAATGACAATTACTGTTTCGAGATATCTGAGATTGTCACATTGACTGATCGATTTTTATTTTTTATTTTTTTTTTTTACAGGTTATGCTTCTAATTTTAAACCTTGTTCTGGATGTGATGGTAAACGACATCTGGCAGCATCTGGCCTCTGATCTGTAATTTAGAGGATTTGAGGAGCATGAAACAACTTCTTAATTACTGTTCTTCCCAGGTCATGATTGATCCGGGTTACATAGAACTATTTAGGGGTCCCAGCTAAAAAAAAATGAACCCTCATACTAAAAGAAAAGACTATAAAAGAATAAAAATAAATTTTTATAGTAAAAATACCAGCAACACATTTTTACATGAGAAAAAATCAGCAATGCCTATTTAGAGCAGAACTAACTACAATTCATTTTATCTGTAGTGGAAGCCATAAAATTGTGTTCAAAATATTTAGATTTTGGCATTAAATAAGCCATACAATACAGATATTCGTATGCCGCTAGACAAACCATAAATTATTATTTGAAGCCACAGCCTATGTTTAAACTGTAAGAATCTTATTCAGGAAATAATGATTTGCTGATACAAGTCGTACTAATTAACCTATAGCGGTGAAGAAAAGATGCATTCAAACAACCACTTTTTAACATGTGGTAAACAAATTCAGTTTTTTTGAAAAGGGAAATGTGATCTTAGACTTGTGTCACAGACAATAATCATTATAAAAATAATCCTAAAATTTAACACATAATCTTAATGTTTTTAATCAATTCAGCCCAAACAAGGAGATAAAGAGAGGGTAGAACTGCGAACAAGACGATAGTCGAAACTATCTACTTCTATTAAAATAGATAAAACACAATGTGTCTATATATGTATAACTGGCCAATCGTATTCGAGAATACCTCCCTACTAGGGCGGCTAGCTAATCCCTAATGCAGACGCTTGCTCGAGCGCATTTTGTGTTAATTCGACAGCCACAGAGCCCATCTGTCATTTATACTGCAACTATGCTTAGCAGACCTTAGTTACAGTTTCTGGGAAAGAGCGTGTTATCTAGCGTGATCAAGAACTTGAAAAGGCCAGCACGCTCAAGCCCTCGGCCACGATGAGTTGTGACTTCGTGCTAGCTACCGACGGCTCCCAATTTAAGTCACATGGCTTGGGCCAACCCGTGGTATGGTTTTCAGGGGCACTTTCCAAAGGTGCCACACGCTGGGATCGATCCCTCGAGTACGATAACATCAGCATGTCTCCTTCCTGAGAAATCGACAATGGTGAGTTTCGAACCTGCGTCTCATAGTCAGAATATATATATAAATATATATATATATATATATATATATATATATATATATATATATATATATATATATATATATATATAGAGAGAGAGAGAGAGAGAGAGTTTGGCCAAATGGGTTAGAACACACAAACACACACACATACACACACACATATATAAATATATATATATATATATATATATATATATATATATATATATATATACAAATGCATATATAGTAAAGAAATAATATATATAGAAATTACACACACACACACATACACACACACATATATATATATATATATATATATATATATATATATATATATATACAGACAAATATATATATATATATATATATATATATATGACATACATACATACATATATATATATATATATATATATATATATATATATACAGACAAACATATATATATATATATATATATATATACACAGACATACATACATATATATATATATATATATATATATATATATATATATATATATATATATCGGCAAATTAAAATATATGTATTTGTTATGCAACCTGGTTTCAGTATTAATAATGAAATATCCCGTTATAAATCTAATATGAAATGTAAATAGACGCTAGATGAACCAAACATGCCGAGCGTTACTAAAATTAGAGCTGAATTATTACCAAATAATGGTATTAGGTTGGTAGTGTATTTATTTTATGTGTTGCTTTCTATTTCTTTTGTTCGGAATTGTGAAGTGCTGGGAAGTTGTGACCTCAATGGCGCAAAATGCGCTAACTGCATCATGATGATGATGGCGATGATGTTCCAAATAATATTTGTCGGTATACATTTTGCATCAATGCATCAAAATCAGAATTCTACCCACCAGGAAGTTATAATCGGGAAGGAAAATTTGACATGTTTATTGCATTGCGTTGCGATAAACGAATCTCAGATTGAAAAATAAAATGAGATGATAGAATAAAATTAAATAATAATACACGTATATAAAATGATATATATATATATATATATATATATATATATATATATATATATATATATATATATATATATATACAGTCAACGATGAAATTATTCGTACACCCATCAATTTTGAATATTTTTATCCATGTCTTAGAATCTAATTCCTGTATGATGTCAGGTTTTTATATGTTAATACACACAATGAAAAATATAAAACTTGAATTTGCAAAGAATACATTAAATACAATAAATTTGACAGGAGAATTATGCAAAATAGGAAAAGACAAAATTATTCATACAGTAGAAAATATCGTTTTAAATTGATTGATTCGTGCAAGTATAAATAATTTACATAATTATTTCATCGTTGAAGCTTCTAGATTATTTATTCTGTAGAATATTTGTGATAATTATAGCCAAGAACATTATGTGGTGCACAGTGTGTCACCATTGTTATGCTTACGTTAACAACACGATGGGGAAGACAATGTAGCTCAGCGTTGACTTGAGACAACGAATTATTAACTTCCACAAATCGGAAAATAGTTACAGCACTATTTCAAACCGGTTAGCGAGTGGGCGTGAAAGACAACACAAATTGTCATGAGAACTGCACGAAAACTGTGTCGCGAAATTAATATAGACCAAAGTATCGCCAAAAGTTTGGATACGATGAATATCAGCGTAAGTACTCGCACAATACAACATTGTTAAAATAGAAATGGGTTGTATGGAAATCGATCAAGACGAACCCATTTTAACAAATCATGTCGCATTGTTGCTCGGTTTAATTTTACCAAAACGTTCTTGGACAAAGTAAATTGCTTTCGGCAATATGTACTATCGAGTACTGAAATAATAATTGAATTTTTTTCGCACATAATCATGTACAGAAGATCTGACGCAAGTAAGGTGAGGCTTTCCTCCCAAAGAACATTAAAACATGGCGGCGATTCCATGATGTTTTGGAGGTGTTTTAGCTCAAGGGAGACTGAACAATTACTCACAATGAGAGGAAGAATGAAATCTGCAGACTATATCAAAATTCTGGATGAATATCTACAACTGTCAGCGTAAAATCTTCATCTAAGTCTGCGATTTAGTTTCCAGCAAGATAATGATCCTAAACATAAAGAAGTGACTGTGTGGCTTCAGAAAAATAAGGTTACAGTTCTGCCATGGCCTTCAATGAGTCCTTACTTGAATCTTATTGAAAATCTATGGAAGCATTAAAATTTTAAATAATGCGTGTCACCAATAACCTTCAGGAATTACAACGTATGAAGAAAATCCCAGAAAAGACTCGTTCAAATTTCATCAAAATCTTTAGAAAACAATAAAAAGCAAGTTATAAAGATGAGAAGTCATGGTATTGACTGTGAAAATTGTTCAAATTTTCATTTGCTATTTTGCATAATTCGCCTATCAAATTTGTTGTATTTAACCTATTGTTCTGAAAACTGACTTTTACATATTTTTTTGTGCTTATAAACATATAAAACAACTGGCATCATACGAGCATTAGATTCTGAGAAATGGATAAAATATTCAAAATTGATGCCTGCTCGAATAATTTCGTCGTTGATTGTATTTCGTTCTGGTAAGGTAGAAAATAATCAATTACGAATGTTATTTCATTTATTATTTTCATATTGTTTATTCCAATCTGTTCCACTGACTGAAAAAAAACTTCCCCCTCTCCAAATTTATAGAGACATCGTACAAATGCAGGCTGGGATTTCTTGCGATCCAAACATTTACGCTATTTCTCGCTCTCATCTGCCATATTTTTGTTCTTTTCTTATATTAAAGTCCCAAAGCTGCAAATATTTGTCTGTATCCCTTTTTTGCGTTCACACCATTCTTAGTTTGGGAACTTTTTACCTTATTACTCTTTCTTTGTCTATTTTTGTCTTTGCATATATTGTTTCTTAGAATAATTCTTGCCCCGTTCTTTTCTTTCTTTTCTTATTGCTTATTGCAAACTTTTCCAATTCTGTTTGTTGGGCATTTCTGCCAATTCCATTTAACCGTGGCCAAATACTCTCCAAATATTAATGAAATATTGAGCATAAACAAGAATATCCAAGATTTGTTATGTTATATGTCTAAGGTTAATGACTGTTTGTCTTTCATTAAAAGAGAGTTAATAGTAGAAGCATATTAACGCATAGTTTCCTTCATTCTTCATTCGCTATTCAACTTTTGAAGGATGGAAAAGATAACTGTTTCGAAGAAGTTCCGTGGCTGCTTCTTAAGACGTCTACGTGTCACGTCTTTTTCCCGTCTCATTATCAGAGAGCCGCTGTTCTCTGAGTACTATTTTCATTCAGGTTGTGTGCCTCCAGGAATTCTTAGGCACTAACCATGCCCTCATGGAGTCCGTCAGCTTTCTCGGGCGCATCTTTATAGAGACAATCGACTAACCAAGAGATTATACTGAAACGCAAACTCTACAATCGTTTACCAGAATTTTACAATAGGGATTCTCATGTCAGCCGTAGTGAGAGAACCAACCTGTTCAAACTTATCCTCATTCACAGCAGCAGCTGACCTACCACTGTGGGTTGTGTTATAAAGATCATTTCTCTTTTTCTCCTGTCATAGACTCATCTACTTACCGTATGAAGTATAGTATTTCTAGGAACATTCACTAATCACCTGTGAATCTTTCTAACACTTTCTTCTTCCTAATATCAGAAATCCTATAGAAGTTT